GTGCGTCGTGCGGGACGGCCGAACGGCAGAGTAGAACCATTTACACGCGACCTAAAAACAAACCAGCAGACCAACAAAAAATGAGGTCGTGGCCATCCACGCGCCGCTATGTTGGCGACGGCGACGGCGGCGGAGACAAGAGACGAACGGAGCAGCTGACACAGACGTCGACGTCGACGTCGAAGTCAACGCTGACGATGACGCGCGCTTATCAGCTATTTATATGTATGTGAGTGCAAGAGAGACAAAATCCGATGCGGGAGGGTAAAGCGCAAGTTGACAATAATATACATATGTATATGCAGTACTTGATATGTAACTACCCTGTAAATTAAATAAATTATAATTTTATAATATATGAGTCTGTCTACCAGCTGTATATTTTTAATTATTTATACAAATTTCTTTTTTTTATTCCCATTTAAAAATAGGGTATCACAAGACCTGTGCTAGCAATTAGTTCGCGAACAGAGCTACAAATATTATACTACGTGAACGGGAGACGCTGACGGCAGCAGACTTGTTTGTTTTTATTTATTTTTTGTTATTTGTTTTGCCTTCGTCATCATGACTTCACATACACACACCTACACATACATAGACACGTCTGTGTGTGCGTGATGTGTATGTATATAAGATACATATGTGCATACATAAGCCAGCTTCTTAATGGAAAATGTGTAATACAATTTGCATAAATTTATAGCAAAAAAAATATATATACATATATATTATACATTTTCGAGAGGCTGCCAGATAATGACAACTGTTGTTTATGAACTTTCGTATGGTAAACAAAATCGAATTCTCTTGAAAATTAGTCATAGCATTTGAAGTTCATTAAAGTTCGCTCACTCGGGGACTGGGACTCGAACCCAGGCTAACCAACACTCGACTATAGAGCAATGAACTGCATAGTGTATATAGCAGAAATATATATACATATAAAGATTTGTTAAGAACGAATCAATACTTACAAGTCGAATAGCTATTATTAAATTGTAAGCTTATGAAATGCATTAAATATTATCGCAATTAAGTGGATTGATTTGATTTGAAGCACAGCTACAGGAAAGCCAATTCGACTGACTTCCGGAGTAAAATACATATCAGGTATTACAAGTCATCAATGGCAACAATTATGCGTTTGCAATATATATCCATAATCTTGGATCTATGATAGCGGGAATACGGTAACTTGACTGCAGGATATTCAATATTCAATTAAATATATTATGTTCAAGAGCGGGCATTGATCAATTGTGTTCATTTAAAAGATGTGCATATATTAATTATATAAATATATATATACATATATGAATATGCATTCATTATAACAGCAGCGACGTGTATAATTTTTTTTTTTTTTTTCGTTACAGTGGCGTAAAACGTGATCGCGATAATGTACAGAGCAATAAAAATAGCGATAAGGGCCAGGGCTCGATACACGTGCCGTACTCAAATGCGGGCTGAGTAAATACTAATACAAACACGACTGGAAGATGCCCCAAGTCTACTGCAACAATTGAAACCCCTCATATAACACACGTTTTATCAATATGTACAAATGATATAAAATGCTTTTGTTAGGAAAAATATTTCCTTCGACCTGTGTTATCTATTTCTATTTAATTTTTAACTTTGGTATTTTCATATTCTAGTTTATTATTTAATCAGACATTTTCATTTATTTTACTCTTTGTATTTTAAATATTCTTTATAAATTCATTTTGTAGTATTTTCTGAAATTTATAATTCATATTTCGTACTAATTAATTAATTGTGAGATTTCTGAATATGTTAGTAGTACTGTGGTAGGCATAAGATTGCTGTTTCTCATATCTCTTTCAACCTCCCCTTTTTTCTTTACTTTGCTGTGTGTCATCTCTTCCTTCTCTTTAACTCAATATATTTTCCTACACATTTAGAATTAATTAGGGCTCCACACATACAACAAATAATGTAATCAAGTGTTAATCAGCAGCTCGAGATTTTCGTAACGCCCAACAAAAAGTGAGTTTAGCACATGAGCGCTAACTACCTATTGGGCAAGTGAAAATATTATTACTTAGCTGTGCTTAAATATTAGTTTAATATACAAATAATAATAAATTCCTTTTTTCTTCCCACTAAAATAACTGTATAAGATATATCGATGGAACAGTAATCGATAGGCAAAAAGGCATCCATCACTACGTCACAGCAACACATGAAACAATTCTAGCACCACACACATACACAGACGCAGAATTAGTGTCAATTGGATTTGCATATGGCAGGCAAAAAACAAAAAATATGCCCTCATCGAAAACAAAAGTCGTGTGCCCTCATAAATGTGATGCGCTGCCTCAGACTCTGATAAGAAATAATAGATAATGCGTGTCAGGCAAATATTATTGCTGACTTATTGTACTGTGACTCGCCCAAACGCATGTACATGCATATATGTTTGTATGTGCATATGTGTGTTTACATAAATGTATGCGTTGTGGTGACTCATCCGCGAGAGAACAGCACACAAATTTCTAATCATGAACTGCATTCTGCTATTCATTATCGTATGTGTGTGCGGGTGTGGATGAAAAGAATTTGCAAACAAAAAAAACGGTGATTTTCAACATTTTACATCACTAGAAATTGATTTACATACACTGTGTGAGTTGACAAACAAGCTGAAGTGCCACCAACGTCCTTGATCATATTTTGGCAAGGAAAAAACTGTTGATATTATAGCGAAAGTTGTGTTACTAAAAAAATACTACAAAATGTCGAAAATAAAAGTTAAACGCAACCACACTTGTCCACTTCGTCCATATACATGTATGTGCACTCATACATATTTAAGTGCAAATAAAATGCGAAGGTTAAAGCTTGCGGTTGAATCGATGTATATATGTACTTTACATGCACGTATATATACATAAATATATGTATGCCCACACATTGTTTGCAGTATGTGCGGGCACTGTTGTTTTTGTCTACTACTATTTTATCAGACTTAGGTTTTCATTTTCTTAGCTTGAACTGCGATTTATTTTGTTTTACGCGACATGGCAACGTCTGTTCTATGACATTGCATATAAAGGCACACACACATGGGCGCATACGTTTGTGTGCTCGCGTGTGAAAGAGAGAGAGAAAGAGTACGAGTGGTGAGCTCAGTGCTGCGCTCATGTTGAAATTTAGCTGTTAATGGTGGTGAATAAGCGCGAGAGAGTGTCACGACGACGTAGGCGAAAATTTAATAATTTTTTCATCAGAAATGCTTAAGTAATGCACTTACTTTGAAAGTTTCTTGTAGTAATTTTAATTTATTGCGAGTGGATAAGCATTTAAAACAAAAACGCCAGTTTTGTTTGAATCACAGTTGTAATCTTTTTTTTTTTTTTTTTAATTTAGTTGGTTTTGCTCTTTTTAAATTTTTTTTCACAAATAATACAGATGTAAAAATTTTTGATCAACTATAAGCTTTTCGTGGAGAATTGCACAGTGCAAGGGGCAAATAGAAATTAAATATGTAAGTATATCACAAATTATGGTTAACTTTCTTTTTATTTTAAACAAACTAAATTTTTCTTGCACACAACGCTCACGACGACGACGTTAGCAGCAACGCTGGCGCGGATTTAATAGACCCGATTGGCTTGACGAGCGCTCGACGATTTTTTGTAACAAAAATTGTAAAATCATTTACAAATTATGCCAAATCAACACGGCGCGCACGCACACAAAGACACAAAGCCAGCCAGCGAAGCAGACAGAGACACAGCGCGTGTATTGTATTGTGGATGACAGTTGTAGTTGTAGTAAAACCCAACGTGGATTTGATCCTCCAAACTCGATGTGAAGTCTCCAAGGTTCAACGCACGAATGAAACGGCGAAGCAGAACGCAAGTCAGCCGAGTAAAAATGAAATTGGGTATGTTATACTCAAAATGTACTGTTGTTGCCACTGCAGAATATGTTAACACAAAGAGTGATTTGTTTTTAGTAATGCAGGAATTTTCTTTCATAAATTTTAAAGATTTTACATATTTCAACATAGTCTCACAAAATATCATATTTATATATTACCTGTACAAAGTAAGGTAGTCTAGAGATTATTCTTGATTTTGTCACTTTACAGTGCAAGTTAACAGCGAGTTGAATAGCGTAGCATTAAGAAACCAGACGAACATATATTTATGTACATGCACGCATGTATGTATACAAAATCATATACATATGTATAAACTTAAACATTGACGGAAGTCTGAGCAAAACATGCACACACACATTCATATATACATATACTTGTGTCTAATAAAACTAGAGAGAACATACATATGGTGAAAACATACAAGGAAATATTCTGTGAATGTATGTTCGTACTTAGATGGATAACGTAATATGGCTGTAGCGCATATTAGTGATAAAACAGCAATGAAAATATAACATTTTGCCATGCCAAATTTAAGTTGTTGAATAACAACTAACGAAAACTAAAAGCTTTTGCGAAAACACACAATAAAATAAAACTGCCAAGTTTCAAGGTACACCGAAGTATTAAAATATATCTAAATATTAGAATCGCTCCTATACGAAGGCATAAACAATCCTCTCCGAGATCTTCAGCTTAATTAATCTTTTTAAGAACTTCAGAATATAAAGTAGACTTTTTATTGCTCTTTAGGTACCAGTTACAAAAAATATACATACATATGTACAGTATGTATTTATGTACATACTTATACATATGTACATAATATTAATTGTTTTTTGCCATCAGACAGACGGGAATGTTCGAGATATCTGATATAGAAAATATATATGTATGTACATATATGTAAATATGTGATTAAACTTGTTTCATTGAGTGCGTTTCGCACTTGATGTCAAAACAAAAGTACCATTCTCAAGGGTATCATGATTGTAACAAGTTACAGACCTGCACATTCACACACATTCATACTCCATTTATAGAGACAGAGACCAATGCAATGCACGAAAAAGAGAGGATGGAGAGCGAATTTTTAACATTTAATCATGAAACTGCTGTTATACATACATACATATGTATTTACATATATTCATCTGTTTATTTTTTAACAGAGAAGCGAAGAGGCTAAGAACTCATATTTACTTACATACATATTTGCATACATACGTACATTTATGTACATTCCTAATTGTTATTTTGAAATGGAAATTCAGCGACGACACAGTTCCAACGACGCCATATTGTAGCCACACGTCAACTAAGTGAGAGAGCAAGGCTGAGAGCTATTGAGATTGAGAGCAGTTGCTGTTATTGTCATGTTGTTGGCATTGCCATTGTGTTTTTGTTGCTGCGTCATCAATGCAAACTGCGCACTTTTATGAAATCTGTTAATACATATGTATGTACATATATAGTATATGTATTTTATATTTAATTCAATATGTACAAATGTATATGCGTAGAACTTATATAGTTTTACACGTGTGATTAATTATAAATAATAATGAGGAAATAACATAAAATTCGCTCGTATGTTGTAATAATACCTACGTGTGGTGAGTTTCTCAGGTTAACATTTTGTTGGCTAAAATTTATTTTATTTTAAGTATGTATGTATGCGATTTATATCCTTGTGTATTTATATGTGTACATATGTACCTATATAGCTAAGTATGTATCTCAGTGATACGATTCATTTTTTGTTTAGCCGTCAACGTGTAAATACGTCGGGCGATAAGAAATAAAACGGAATTGACGTGATATTGATACATACATACATATGTATGAATATAATTATATAAACAATTTTTTATAACTTATATTACAAATTAGATATTTTAGTTTCAGAAAGTAAATATAAACGCAAAAACATGGACATTTAAGTCTTTGATTAGGGTTTTTGTACACGTCTATTAGACTTAAAATTAATTTAATTTAATTAAATTTGACCGAAACATCGATGTCATTTGTGCTTTCATACATACATACATACAATCTATACGGCGTATGCATAATCATATTATGTATGTATGTATGTTTGTATATGTACATATGTATGTATGTATGTCCATGTCTACGAACTGTAGTTTTGAGGGACTCTCACCAATATGCACATGTTTGTTTTGTATTCTTGTATGCACCTTGAATAAGCTTTAAATCAGCTTACTTATTTTGTGAGTACAAAATTAACCAATATGCATACAAATGTTTAAATGTATGTATGTACGTATGTATATGTGCATACGATCATTCGTTTGATTGCTACGTACATACATACACATACATAGTATGTACTTGTATAGCTTTAAAAATAAACCGACTAGATTAAATTGGTGTACATGGCGATGTATGTATGTATGTATGTATAACAGTCTACCAACAGCAGCTTTTCTATAGAAAACGAAAATAATTTCCTGTTTCATGTGCTTGTGTACGTATACATATGCATATACATATGTATGTTTGTATTGTCATGCACAGACAACAGCTGAGGCCGAAGCCTACCGAATGAGAGTGAGAGAAAGAGTAGAAGAGAGGCAGCACTTGATTTCGTCAGTTTAGGATCGCACGAACCAAACAAAACGTTGTTTTGTTGAGTAAAGTCAAAATTTAGCAATAACAACAATTAGTCACCAGCCGCGCAGAAAGCTGTCGTGGTGAAAATGTTGCGTTGACTGAGTTAACAGCAAATGAGAGCAATAGCACAACACAAAAAGCCAAACATATACAAACAAACGTGTTGATATGTTTTGTATGTGTACATACGCATATGTACATCTGTATATACATATGTATGTACGTGCGCCTCACCACTG